AAATAAAAAACAGAAAACAGACGTGGAGTCTTAAAGCAAACTCCTAACACAATTTTGCTCTCTTAAATTCTTTCAAAAGGAGTGTCATCAATATCATGGTTTAAGAAAATCATGAAAAGAGAAGGACATTACATACTTGGTACAGCTTGATATCTGATTTGTCAAAACCTGGCATGAAGAGAGTAACCGATCTTCTTTTTACATCAAATCTAACTGGAGATGGCATAACAACTTGACTTGTTAGTGAATTAAGAAGATGCCGAGCATCTTCATTGTCTGTATCCACTAGAACTCTGCTCCAACCTATAGGATTATTCATCAACAATCTTGAAATGAAAGCAGAAGGCAAAGGAGAAAATTCTTTCTTTGTTCTTTCCAATATTTCTAAATTTTCTTGCTGAGATGTGATTCCGAAAGCACCAGAAACCTGAGCACCAGCCTGAATAGTACATCCCCAATATCGCAATGCAGAATTGATTGATGTTGGACAGTTTGGATCCATCACAAGTAAGCAACCAAATTTATGTGGGTTTAAGAATGCAGAAGATCCTCTCTGGGCAACACAAAATAAACAAAGAAAATTACAGTTTTGAGCGAAAGGTATGATTATGTTAAAATGATGTTTACTCTTACCTCCAGTATTTGATCCAAAGTGTCCCAAATTTCTGAACTCATTTTCCCATTAAAATAAGATCTGCTGCTACTTATTATCATGGCCTCATCCACAAGTCTCAGTAGTGAAGGAGCAGCTAATCTCCCAAGTTCAGTTTTCTCAGCCAAGGTGCGGAGATATTTCAAGTACAATCTGAAAATCACAATATCAAACCAAAGATAATGATAAGAGTGTGCATGTGAGTTCAAGAATGTGGCAATTCCAATAACCTTGCTTTACTGCTTCCACCTATGATTCGCAGGGTTTCCTCACTGTTGATACCATCATATATTATTAAATCAAATTTATCCTTTTGACTCTTTGATGCAGCAATCCCCAAAAACCCCACAAGTCTCTCAAGAGCAAGTACCAAAAGGATGGAGTCCATCCCAGGCAGGATGCCAAGCTCTTCTCCAACAATCTGATTATAGGACAGAGAAAAGTGGATATAACCCTTCTGTAAAAGTTGGATGAAGGAATGCATCCATTGCAAATATGGATAAAATATGATATTGAAAACATATTACGTACCCACCCCTCCAAGTGTGCCCTGAGTCATATTAAGTTGGGCATCTGCTTGCTTCAGAAGTTTTAAAGGTTCAAGAAGCATCTGCAGTTACAGATATACATATTCTTTAGATACAAAGTAAAAGTATATACTGTGATTTATTGATCAGAAGGCAAAGGAAAAAGCAATACACACTTTGGTTGTTTCCAACCTAACGGCAGAAAGGTTCTTGCTGCAGGCGATATGGGAAGTTCCAATCTTACAGTTGAGAAGGTAGTCAGCAGTGGTGTCTTGGCCATGTATGACCAAACATGTATTCAACCCAGCCAAAGCATAATGCTGAAACAAAGGTACATGAAATAAAAAATTAAAATGTAGATTAATTACTTTTCCAAGGACGAACTTGGATAACTACGACTTATATCAGTATACATTTTGGAAAAGAAAGTAGGAGTCTACTTAGTTTGAGATATATTTTTATATTTTGTTCCCAGTTTGAAATATCGAAAACATAATGTCTGTTTTTTCAACTGTTTTCTATACAAATCTCTTAAAATAGGAAACAAAGAGAAAACAAAATAACATTTTCAAATTATGTGTAAACAAGAAATGGAGACAACATTTTCTCAGACATTAGGTTATGTGGCTTCTCCAAGAAATAGGAAAATGTGAAGAGAAGGTGGAAAAGTAACACAAGGTTCCTGATAGAGTCCACAATAAACTTCACTAATGACCGTATTCCTAGATTGGAACGTCGCATAGAAGTGCTATTTTTGAAACCACAAGAGCAATTTAGAAAGGTCTTCCATTGCAAAAAGTCATACTGTAGACTAACATTTTACAGTATTAGAAGCTAAAAATTAAAATCCCAGCTTTATTAAAAGGCACAGACAGCACAGGAAGAACTTCTACAAGTACCCATTTAACAGGAATTGAAACACATTTTAACACACTTTTAATGTCAATTGGAATTCATATGTATGCTAAAATATAATTTTGATCCTTTCTCTTTTTACTCCAATTTGTTTTAGTCCTTTATCTTTCAGCCAGTATTTGATTGGCACGAAATTAGAGGGGAAAATAATGAAAATTATTTAGGGAATTCTGTAGAGTGGAAATATGTTTTCAAAATTGTCGGACCCACCAGTACTTTTTAACTCTATTTCTCATTTATACATTCATCTTGGATCTCTCTACTTATTCCTTTGTTATATTCCTCAACCAAACAACTTTAATTTTCATTTTAGTTATCACTCATGTGCATTCATCCTTGTTTTATTTTCATCCTCTCTATTTCTCTCTCCTCCACCAACCAGACCATTAAATTGGATCAATGATACCATCCAAAAACAGTGAACATTTTCAATTTTGGCACACTATTTTGAACCCTTTTAAATTATCAAAGACGTGAAACTTGCCTTATTGGAACATCTACACGAACTTAACTAAAGTTAAAAACAAAAAGGAATCATAAATAGTGTGAAAAGTAAGTCTTACAGGCAATAGGGATAACTTTTTTGCGTAAATTTTTATCACATGAGAGACTATGCCATAAATTTAAGTATGAAGTTTATTGACCCTATGCCGTTATGTTAGCCAAAGAACCGCACTTATTTTTAAAAGCTTAGAGAAAAACTTATTGCGCGAAAAAGAGCTTATATAAATCATAAGTTGTTCTCTTAACTTCAAATAAGCTCAGTAGACACGCTTCCATGTTCCAACACACCTTAATTCATCTTTTTGTTCATTTTTCTTCTCAATGTTCAGGCTCACAAACTCGCATAAACGAATGTGCAAAAACACATTCCCGTGTCACAATCAAAAGAATTGCAATGTACAATCTGAAGATGCGAACCGTTTTGATAAAGTAGAAAAATATAATTCTTCCTCTCTAGCTTGTTAACAAACACTCTGCTCATGCACATGTCAAAAATATTTATGTTTTGGTTTAATAGCATTTTAATCCTATTTTTTTTTCAATTACATCTCACTTTTTAAGAAAAAAAATCAGTAAATGTAATTCTGTGACAGTAACAAGTTACATGAATAACTTAAGTGAAATGAATTTTATAAAAATATTATATTAATTTATTAAAAAAACAATTTTAAACATTTTAAGATCAAATTGAAAAAAAAAGCATGCTAATGGAGTAGGAAAAAAAAACTATCAATCCTTTTTTTTTTCTTTTCTCTAAGCACATTGAGATGATAGGAAACAAAAATGTTCAGGAAAAAGAAGGAAACGTTAGACGAAATTTAATTTGTAAACGTAATTGAAGATGAACAATGTACCTGGGCGGCGAGAATAGCGGCGGTGGTTTTGCCTGAGCCACCTTTGCCGAGAAAAGTGAGCAATTTGGTGGCTGAGGAAGAGGCACCGCCCTCGGAAGCCGCAACGACGAGACGAGATTTTGAGGAACGAGAAATTGAGGTTCCGATAAGAGGTGGAAACGAGAAGGATGAAACAGCGCCCATGGATTAGGATTTTCTCAGTTCTCTCACGCTAACCAACATGTACTCAAGCAAGACACATGTATTCTTCACACACAACACTGGTTACTTCTTACACATGTCATAATGTTTTCCGTCCTTATTTGGGCCCTTTCTTTGGGCCTCCTGGCCTGCATGAACAAATTAACAAAGGCTTTTCTTCCTGCAGGCCCCTTATTACTAACCACGCCTCTATTAGTAGAAAAAAGTAGAATACCTTCACTTCATATACCACCCCACCAAGCCGCTGCTACACCTTTGTTCTTAGCAAAGAGAGAGAAAAAAGAAAGTTGGTTTCTAAACACGTTTTATTTTAAAATGTATTTCATTCATTTTTAAATACTCATTCTAAAAATTCTATTATAAAAGTTTTTATTGAAAAATGATATTTCTAAAATAAGCAATTCATAAAATATTTTGAGAAAGAATAAAATAGTCATTTTAAAAGTCGTGGAGATGTGGTTAAAGATTGTGGAAGTGAAGGGAGAAAAATACATAAAAAGATTAACGAGGTTGTGAGAGTTTTAATTTTAATTTGAGTATACATAATAAAAATATATAATATAAGTATATAATTAGAAAAATTAATAATTGATAATTTAACATGTATTCTAATCGTATAGAAATATATTAGAAATAAATATTAAAATAGAACCAAAAATAAAATGTAAATATTTATTTATAAACATATAATATTAGTAAAATCATAAATAAAAGGATGTGATTCAAATAGTAGTCATAATTATAATAAAATGTGACAAAATAATTGTTTAGTTTTATCTTGGTTGTATTAAGAATTTACTCTTTAGATTTTTTTTTGGTGTGTATAGTATACATATTGCTTTTATAATTATTGAGACGGATAATTGTATTAATAATATGTATGTTTCATAATTATCTCTTATGTATTATCAAATTTTAATGTTTTATTTAGTAGTTATATACTATAAGATGCTCTACAATATTATGAGTAAAATTAAGGAATCACGTTATACTTCCGATATATTGCATGATATTGAAAATAATAATAATTGTATGATTTATTATTATATTTAATTTAATAGTGTATTTTTTAAAAAATTTATCAAAATTGCTTATGATTAAAAATTATAAAACAAAAACTATAAAAAAAATTAGAGTCTAAAATTGTATATAATTAAAAATTAAAAATTAAGAAATTAAAATTGTTGAAAAAATAGGAAAAATTATAATTAGTCCTAAACAATAAACAATAATACTATTTTTTCTTTCCAAAAAGTACATTTGATTTTAATGAAAGGAAAGAATATAATGGATCAAACGAGACTTTTGGACTAGTTTTTGTGGCAGGAAAAAAATTGTTAATCGGGTCAGGTAATCACGTCACCGACCCGATAGATTGGACCCATACTATTTATTAACAACTACACCTTAGAACGACAAATTTTATTCCGATCGAAATTTTCTGATCAGTGAAGAATCTTAGATTCCGCGGGAAAAGCTTCATAATCTCTGAAGAAGATAAGCAGCAATGGTTCGAATTTTGTTATTCTTAATTTTTTTTTACGTTTTATGGTTATACGATCACAATTAGGGTTTGTTCTATTACGTGCTTCTTAATTTCTGGATTCAATTATGTATCTTCTGTTTGGATTAAACTGCTTTATTTGTGTTATTGTTTGTTGTGTTGAGAACCTTTAATTGCAGCAATTCAATCTGTACATTGAAAATCGTTCTTTTTCATGGTCGAATTTTGTAAAAGGGGATTGATAACTGTAGGCTGATAGAACATGTTTTTGGCTAATATATACGTGTATTAATGTTTGATATAACTGCTTTTCTTGAGAAAACTATGGATTCTGCTTTCGTAATACAATTGATTGGTTTGTAGCTTAATGGTTGTCTGTTTTAATTTTGTTTTTCGGCTTAAGAGGGATTCTTGGTGCTTCTTATGTATTGGCCAATTTGGTGTTTGTTAATTTCCTGGTATACTAAATTTGCTCTGATTGTATTGTTACAGTCTTCGCTTGCGGCTGCTAGAGCAGACAACTTTTACTATCCTCCAGAATGGGAACCGAGTCAGGTATGTTCAAATAACAGGTTTAATTAAGCTCTCCTGTAACTCAACAGTTGTCTAGTATCAAGAGACTAATAAACTTTCTACCTTTTCAGGGTTCGCTGAACAAGTTTCATGGTCAGCATGCCTTGCGGGAGAGGGCGAGAAAACTAGATCAGGGTATCCTGATTATAAGGTAATCAGAAGTAGCTGAAGAAACCATTTAGTCATATTAACTGTTTGCCATTGGTGAATAAGGGATCCCAATTATGTGTCCCACTACATTCTTGAAGTTCTATAGTCTGGAAAATGAAATGATAGTTGAATTTGAGTGACGAGCCTTTGTTGTATTTGATGTATATTCTTTTATTCAGCACATGGACAAAGTGTAAAAATAACAGAATTGAAAGTATTGATGCTATGAATTATGAGCATATTCTAATGAAGCCTTTTGATTGAACTGAATCAGTATAAAATATTACAAGCTTGAACATGTTCATGCAGATTTAATTTTCTTGTTTATGTAAGTGCTTGCTTTCAAAATAGTTTTCGACACAAAAATCAAAGGTTATAAAACTGTGAGATCCCTCCTATATCAGAAAGGGGACCAAGGATGGCTGCTGTGATTGCAACGAAGCTTGTGATATGAACTTCGCTATGATGGGATCCCAAAATCCCATAATGAGGAGTATGGTGGGATGCTTGGCGGAGTATTTAAATAGTTGCTTCTCTCCCCTTATTATCTAGCTTTTAAGGGTGGATTCTCCAAGTGTTCGGGTACTTATCAGTTTGTATGATAGATCCAAGATACCTAAATGGTCTGGTGTTTATGGAAGCTAGGAAATATTGTTGTTGCATTTCTCATTCATTTAACTCTTTTTAAATTGGTTTGCTAAAGATACCATGTTGATATTTTTTTTCTTTAATATTTAATTTGACATCATCTGGCTAAACTACTTTCAGATTTGAGATGCCTTATAATATATGGTGTGGAGGATGCAATTCAATGATTGCAAAGGGTGTTCGGTTCAATGCAGAGAAAAAGCAAGTTGGGAATTATTACTCCACAAAGGTATGTTAAGGTTTACTTCAAATGCATTTGAATTTAAATCATTTTTTCAGTGGATGTGATTAATTGTATCATTTTGGTATTTAAAGGGTGGACCTGATATATCTTACGAATAGTTATATTTTGTTTAGTTTGCCACTATTATGTGGGTGTTCATTGCCTTATACCTTTTTGTTTGCTTATGCACTATTTATCCCTCATCTAGTAATGTTCCACCTAAGTTTTCTTGTTAACTATCTAATAAATGTTTATTGGTCCTTCAGATATGGAGCTTCTCTATGAAGTCTGCTTGCTGCAAACATGAGATCGTCATTCAGACTGATCCTAAGAATTGTGAATATGTCATTATTAGTGGGGCCCAGAAAAAAACTGAAGATTATGATATTGAAGATGCTGAAACTTTTGAATTGCCTGCCGATGAAGGTGTGTTACAGTATTAGTGAAAAATTAGCAGTATATGTTTTCTTAAACTGAAGATTTTGATATTGAGGATGCCAAAACTTTTGAATTGACTCCCTGTAAAGCTGTGTATTACAGTATTAGTGAAAACATTTTAGCAGGTATGTGTTTTCTTCCGCTAGCATGAATGTGTTAGTGCATGTAGTCATCAACTTTGTTTCGGAAGCAGGGAGAGCATACTGTCAGACCCAGTGGCCAATGGCCATCTTAATGGATGGAATTTTTTCTCTTCTAAATCTAGTGCTATACCCTTATTTTCCTTTTGCCTTTGACCATGTTTAGCGAACTGAAATGTTGTCGATAAAGTTAGCTAACTATCTTCATATTTAATTTTCCTTTCAGAAAGGGGTAAGCTTGCAGATCCATTTTACCGCCTTGAACACCAGGAAGAAGACTTGAAGAAAAAGAAGGAATCTGAACCAGTGCTTGTACGTCTCCAGAGGCAGTCTGATAACAGGCATTCAGATGACTATGCTCTCAATAAGACTCTACGGGCCCGGCTTAGAGTATGTACTCTTTGGCTCATGATATTTGTTGTAGTTTAGTTTTCTATTCCTTTTCCATTTTAACCAGAACCAGTATATTGTTTCTTTTGTAAATAATATTTCAATTCTGCTCTAAAGAAAAGAAATATAGGTTGACACTTTTCAATTTTCTCAGAGTCAGAAGAAAAGAGTTGCTGAAGAAGAGAATGCATCCAAGAAAATAGGCCTTGGCATAAGACTACTACCAGCTACTGAAGAAGATTCTGCCACAGCAAAAAGAGTGAAGTTTCCAACAAAGTTTGAAAAGAATAGGAAGGACAAGAGGGCAGTGATCAATGCCGAATCCATTTTCTCTGGAGTGTCTAGCTATTCTATGTCTGATAAGAGAAAACAAGAGCTAGAATCAAAAAGAAGAAAAATTTGTGCAACTTCAGCCTCCAGTCTTCTAGCTGGTGGCTTTAAGCCATCATCATGGTCACATGCTGCTATGATATCAGGCAAGAAAAAGGGAGCTTCAATGACAGTAAGGCGCTAGAAAGCTAAAACACGTATGTGACATTGGACTTGGCAATGGTCATTTGTACATAGCAGTTACATGTGTTAATTTTGAACTATGTTTTCCGTTGTAAACCATTTATGAATATGTTAACGGAAACATATTTTTCATCATTCTCTCCCCTCTACAGACTAAGAAGGAATAGTTTGATATTTTATGTAATTTTGTTCGATTGAAAAAAAAAATTATAAGTTACATTTATTTTTTACCTGTAATTAAAGGAATTGTATCAAGCCAAACGTTGGAGTATTAATACTTCTACTATTCATAATCAATTACACGACTTTTAACAATAAACTATGATAATGACTTATTGTGAATAAATAATATTATTAGAATAAAATATAATGTAGCTCTCTCCGTTTCACAAAGTTAAGGGTGTGTACTCATCGCTGAAATCTAATTAAGATAAATTCAATGATTGTTGATACATACCTTCAATCAATCGTACAACAAATAAGGTAATAATAAACTTAAGACAACTAATACAATATGCAATAAATAAAATACTATTATAATAACTGGAACATAACTTTAAAATTAATTTATCAAACATTCAAATAATGGTGAAGCATACTTTATTTAGTTTCCATCAACTTATGTTCTGAGTAGTGATAAAACTTGTAATTTATTTTAAATATATGGTGATGATAAATATCTAAAGAATGTTAAATCATATACAATTTAAATAAGTATATATATATATATATATATATATATATATATATATATATATATATATGTATGTATATTCTCAATTTAGCAAGTGTGGATTCAATTAAAATTCAGTGTTTCTATTTTTGTGTTGTTCATAGTTTAATATAACACAAGAGCATTGAATAAAATCAACGTCATTAATTAACGTTAGAAAACATTGTTAAAAAATAATGAAAAAGACAAAAGATTTTAATCTATATCTACTAGTGGGTTCTGATCTAATAAGAGTATGCACAAACCTAAACAAATGCAAAGATGGCACCATACAAATCCATGTTAAATTCGCATAAGCTTATTCAAATAAGATTTGAGACAACTTTCAAGACCCCAAGACAAAAAAGGTTTAAGCACTAGAATCTTAACAACCTTGGCCACGTGAAACTTTGCACCAGTGACAAACTATACAAACTTCATCGTTTTCAAGGAAATAATATATATAGACATCAAAACCTTGAATAAGAAAATATTTATAATTTTTTCTGGTGCTTGTGCCACCGGCTTGTATATTCTCATATCGATAGCTGTAACAATCGCAAGCAAACATTGCAACTAGCATATTTTCATTGTTGTTATTTCAATGAGACTATTATTATTATTTTTATTATTACAACTGCTTCTTTTTCAGTGCCAAAGTTAATTAATTATGTATAAAAGTGTATGTTTTACGTATTAATAAATAGTAACCTCAAAAATCAAAGGCCATTAAGGGTATGGCAATGACTATGACAACTGGTGATAAAAATGTGATCCGTAATTAGATGGAGTGGTGTTGTTGGACGTGTTCGTTTCTCCCCGTAACGCAGTTTTGAATGAGGACAACATTACATGTCTGAGATAACAGTGTTAATCTCATGTGAGACAGTGTCATTAAAAAATAGCCAAAATAAAGCAAAAGACAACATTGTCACAGTCAATGAACACATGCAGCGTCTGTGCCAAAAGGAAAGCGATGATGACAGAAAACCAACATCGTAAAAAGAATAAAAGGAAAAACAGCTGGAAATACGACGTGGCTCATACCTATTGGATGCAAAGTTGGCACAAAGACAATCATCATGCTTCCATGAATGGAATGCCTACAGACCACACAAAATTTACTTTGTATTCGCTCCACGATCACTTCAACTTTATTAATTTAGCTACAAATACTTAATATTATATATAATTTTTTTCTTCTCTTTTTACATACATACTTTTTAAAATTCTCCAAAATTGAAAAAAGCACTATAAAAAATATGAAGTTTTTTTTACGTAGATATAGATATGACATATCATAGTTTTGTAATTATGTAGACCGTGAGACTCTTAATAATTATGTTTTTTTTGTCATTTTAACAAGGGTTAAATATGTTTTTCGTTCCTTAAATATCACACAATTTTGGGTTTAGTTCCTACTCGAAACTTTGATGGTTTTTAGTCTTCGTAGTTTTAAAACTCTTATTATTAGTCCTTAAAATTGAACGCCGTTAACCTTTTGTAGATGTGGTAAACGGCAAGGCCACGTCTTATGCCAGCTTGCCTCTTCGCTCTCTGCTGCTTGTGCCGTTCGTCTTCTCTGGCAGAGCAGAGCCTCCATCAGACCAGCCTTCATCAGACCAGCCTTCATCGGACCAATCGCCACCGGGACCATTACCGACCGCGTCGTCGATTTCTCCCTCTTGCCTTTTCTCCGCGCAACATGATTAATCTGTGGAATGTTCAGTTTCTCACCTTTCTTTGCATATCAACGATCTCTTCCATAATTTTCTCTCCCTGAAAATCAAAAGGGTTTAATCAATTATATAAAGTCATTAGGGAAATTATTCAGGAGATAGATTTATGCATCCAAGACCTTCTTTTCTATCACACTCCCCAATCTAGTTTCTGGAGACCTCTCCAGCTGTTGCAATTCATCTATGTTTAGACCCTAAAGATCCTCTCCTCTTAGCTGCCTGCATTTCTTTTTCCTTGTTATATATGTTTACATTTCAACAAACAAATTCATTTTCAATCACGAAATTGTCAGACTTTGTACCTTAGTTGATGGCTCTTCTCGACAACTTCCTTGCTCAATCTGCTGCAGTTGCTGTTTTCAACCAGCTGAGTAATCATTTTAGAAATTAATGATTGCCATTGATTGAAGTTTTAAACCTTTGAAATAGTTTATATTCTGAAAATATAGCTCATTTTATCCTAACCCAACGTATTCAATCTCCTAAACATCCATGTCACGTTGCATAAGACCAAACAAAACATGGTTGTGTTTGTTTGTTTTGGTTGTTTCTTTATTTACAGGCATAAAGAAAAANATAATTTTCTCTCCCTGAAAATCAAAAGGGTTTAATCAATTATATAAAGTCATTAGGGAAATTATTCAGGAGATAGATTTATGCATCCAAGACCTTCTTTTCTATCACACTCCCCAATCTAGTTTCTGGAGACCTCTCCAGCTGTTGCAATTCATCTATGTTTAGACCCTAAAGATCCTCTCCTCTTAGCTGCCTGCATTTCTTTTTCCTTGTTATATATGTTTACATTTCAACAAACAAATTCATTTTCAATCACGAAATTGTCAGACTTTGTACCTTAGTTGATGGCTCTTCTCGACAACTTCCTTGCTCAATCTGCTGCAGTTGCTGTTTTCAACCAGCTGAGTAATCATTTTAGAAATTAATGATTGCCATTGATTGAAGTTTTAAACCTTTGAAATAGTTTATATTCTGAAAATATAGCTCATTTTATCCTAACCCAACGTATTCAATCTCCTAAACATCCATGTCACGTTGCATAAGACCAAACAAAACATGGTTGTGTTTGTTTGTTTTGGTTGTTTCTTTATTTACAGGCATAAAGAAAAATAGGCAACTCCCAGCAATGACAGCAAAAAAGGAAAGAAATTATGAATGGTTATTGAAATTAAAATGCAATGGAAATGCAAAACTAAAACTGGTTTTTAACTAAAATACAATGATAAAACATAAAATGGAGTGAAAGATGCAATGACCTCAACACATTCACTTTTTGAAAGGCAGTAAACAATTCCACACTGATTCCTGATTTGTGGCTCGCGGAGACCATCCTAGTTTGTGGCTCGCGGAGGCTGGACTCTCTCAGGCGGCGATTGGACTCTCTCAGGCGGCGATTGGCGGAGGAACGAGAGAGCTTCTCCTTCACGCGTGGAGAAAAGGCAAGGAAGGAGAAATCGACGCTGCGGCCGACAATGGTCCCGGTGGCGATTGGTGTCGCCGGCGACGCCTTGGACTGAGCGGAAGGTCCGGCACGACGGCTGGTTCGATGGAGGCTCTGCTCTGCCGAAAAAGACGAACGACACAAGCAACGTGGCAGAGAGCGAAGAGGCAAGCTGACATAAGACGTGACCTTGCCGTTTGCCACATCTACTAAAAGTTAACGGCGTCCAATTTTAAGAACTAATAGTAAGAGTTTTAAAACTACGAGGACTAAAAACCATCACACTTTTGAGTAGGGACTAAACCCAAAATCGTGTAATACTTAATAGACGAAAAACATATTTAACCCTTTTAACAAACATGTTTTGTATTTAATTCCGGACATATCAAATTTTCATTATCATAACCATTATAAAACACATGATATAAGATAATCTTAAATTTTCATGTTTCTAAGCTTTTATTGATTTTCTAACATTTTGTTTTTCATGTTATTTATTATTTTCTACTTTTCTGTAATATACCAGGACTAGGATATTAAACACAAATTACATTCTCTACATTTATATTAAACACACAAATATTAATCAGACAGTAACATATTATTACCTAACTTTTAATGTTGATCTCGCGACATAATTATATGGTCTACATTTGTAATTTATACTATTCATCACAAGAAAAGTTTCAGTTAAACATTTTCCAGAATACATTTCTAAATATGTAAATAAAAGTAAAAATACGTAGAATCACGTATCTGATATAGACCTTTTGACTTTAAAGAAAATTTAAATTGTGAGGAAATACGTACGTATGAAAGTATATCCTGGAACCCAAAATCGCGTAGCATCGACCGTCTTCTGATTTCATTTCTCTTTCATTTTCATTCTTCTGCACTCACCATTATATCTCTCTCTCCTCTCTCTCTCTCTCTCTCTCTCTCTCTCTCTCTCTTTCTCTCCTCTCTCTCGTTCAACAATGTATTCTTCACTCGACTCTTTCCTGTCCTTGATCTTCTTCTTCACCATTCTCTCCCTTACACATTCGTCAACCGAGTACCTCAAGCTACCGTTAATCCCTCGAACAACACTCTCCAACGTCTCCAACATCCTCGCCGCCGACCTCCACCGCATCTCCGGCCTCCGTACTTTGCCTCAGTCTCCGCTCACCTCCGGCGCCGCCATGGGCTCCGGACAGTACTTTGCGGACCTCCGCATCGGATCCCCGCCGCAGCGCCTCCTCCTGGTAGCCGACACCGGCAGCGACCTTGTCTGGGTGAAATGCTCCGCCTGCCGTAACTGCTCCACCAAGCGACCCGGATCCGCATTCCTGCCCCGACATTCCAGAAGCTTCTCCTCCTACCACTGCTACGACTCGCCGTGTCGATTTGTCCCTCAGCCCACACCCACACACTGTAACAACCGCACCAAACTCCACACACCCTGCCGCTACGAATATTCCTACGCGGATGGGTCCACAACAACGGGCTTCTTCTCCAAGGAAACGACGACGTTCAACACCAGCTCCAACAAACAAGGGAAAATTAAAAACCTGGCATTCGGGTGCGGGTTTAAAACCTCTGGCCCCAGTGTAACAGGCTCCAGCTTCAACGGCGCGCAGGGCGTAATGGGACTGGGCCGCGGGCCCATTTCGTTTACTTCCCAACTTGGCCGCAAATTTGGTAACACCTTCTCTTACTGTCTTCTCGACTACACCCTATCCCCGGCCCCAAAAAGCTACCTTACAATCGGCGCCTCCTCAAACGACGTCATTTCGCGGAAGCTGTTCAGTTACACGCCTTTTGCCACTAACCCTCTGTCTCCCTCGTTTTATTACATCACCATCCAGAGTGTCTCAGTTGACGGCATTAGGTTACCGATAAACACTTCCGTTTGGGGGATCGATGACAACGGAAACGGAGGCACCGTCCTGGACTCCGGCACCACGATTTCTTTTCTAGCGGAGCCAGCTTATAGGCAGGTTTTGGCCGCCTTCCGGCGGCGCGTGAAGCTTCCTGCGGCGGAGGGAGCCGCCGCGCTCGGGTTCGACCTTTGTGTTAACGTCTCCGGCATCACAAGGCCGAGGCTGCCGAAGCTGAGATTCTTCCTTGCCGGAAAATCGGTGCTGTCGCCACCAGCAGGGAATTATTTTATTGAGCCGGCGGATGGAGTAAAGTGTCTCGCGGTTCAGGCAGTTCGACCGGGTTCTGGATTTTCTGTGATTGGGAATTTGATGCAGCAAGGGTACTTGTTTGAGTTCGATTTGCACCGGTCGCGGATCGGGTTCTCGCGTCACGGATGTGCGGTTCGCTAAACATGAAAAAGTGAAACCGTAAAACGAACCGGGTTATTTATTTAAATGATACGGATTTGTTATTATTGCCACGTGTATTTTTTGGGGGCATTTGAGCTTGTTTGGATTGTTGCTGTCAACAATTTCGGTGGACGAACGTTATGATGATCTGTATTTTATTATATTTTATATTTTGGAAATTCTTTTTGGTTTATTTATATTTATCTGATATTTTTGCTGTGTAGCCTCTGGGGAAGAGAAAATGAAAAATTTTCCGATTGTAACGTCTTTTACGTAAAATTTTAATATTTTACTTTATTAAACATAAAACAATCAACATTTGTTTTCATTAATACTAGTTTTATATTTTCAATATAAATCCATAATAATTCGATAAAAACGATCATTTAACGGAGAGAATGAAATAATGTCGTTGAGACGTCCTTTATGTAGAAAATAAATATTTTAATTTATTTAAATTTAAAACCAATAAGAATTATGAATTGTTATTTATACTGGCTTTTCGATTTAAATACATCAAATTTCAATATTAGAGACAATTTAAAAATACTTAAAATATTGAGTGTTGTTTGGTGTTTCCTGTGTTGTAGTTTTATTAATTGTTGTTCTTATCGAAATTCTAATGGGAAATCTTTATGATCCATGTATTTTTTAGAAGTGAATTTTAAGTCTAATTCAATTCTATAAAATCAATTTATACGGTGAGGTTTGCACTAATTTATAAACTATAAATTGACATTATCTCTAGTCGATGTGAGACTTCCAACATTTTATGTGAGGGTTGAAACAAAGACACTCAAGTAGGAATGTCACTTTCTCAAGTTTAAAAAAATAAGAGAGTTTTGATTTTTTTTTATTAAAAATAGATATAAGTATGTATTTTCGGATGAAATACATACTTTTTACTTATATAAAAAAATTGTATTTATAAGGTTTTGGAACTTTACGATGTGTGATAAAAAGATAAAGAAGTGTATCTATAAGATTTTTGAGCTCTTTGACTCATGTGATAAAAAGAGATAGTATCAAAGTTGATATCAAATAATATTAATAAAATAACAATTTACAGTATATATAAGAATTAACAAAACAATCACAATAATGTGATATTTTATCTACATATCAAAATATTATGTAAATATATGATATTAAGGAATATCATAACGTAATCAAACTATTAAGATTTGTTCATATACATATGAATATTTATACCAACAAATATATTTTTGAATATTATGTAATCACCTTAGGTCAATAGTTGGGTCGAATATATACATAAGTCTCCCAAGCTCCAAAGTTTAATTTAACAAATAGGGAATAGTTGTTGTAATTGTAACTAACCCTTTGGTCGAGTTGTAACCAATGTAAGACACTAAAAAAAAAGCTAAATAATGAGGTGTTTGGATGTCATTTGAGTACATTAAAGTAAAGAATTATAAAGATTCATGGTTAGAGCACTTTGTTATAGGCTAACAGTCTTATGTTTAATTCATGTGCATGCATAAAATGTTTATTTATTTTTATTTTTCTTTCTTTCTAATAACCTTATGCATGGAATAAGCTTTGTTAGAAATGAAGTTCCTGGAAAAATACTAGAAGAACGGTTGAATAGTATTATAGGAAAACTTATTGCAAAGGAGATAATTTAATAGTTTTGTCGAGGATTGAAAAATTTACATAAGTTGTTAAATGCTCCATTTTAAAATTTAGTTCAAACTATAAAAGAGTTTCAATATAATCTTCAACAAGATTACAATTGATTATTCTCACCACTTGTGATATCCCTAATCACTTTAAGTAACCACCATTACTTTGACTAATATTGATTTTCACCCACTCCTGGTCACTAGACAAACCCATCTAGCTACCATTTAACTTCACCAAGTTAAACGTCAGAGTTTCACTCACTCCTCATTTAACTTCACCAAGTTAAATGTAAAGTGTTTGAATTCTCTTCAAAATTTACAATCAAAAGATTGGTTACAATTCCATAGATGATAGTTGTTGTAGAGAGATATGTGTGTAATACAAACTTACTGAATATTTTTTTCTCTCTTCTTACAATGGTAAACTTATATATATCAATGAAGCTTGAGAGTGTTTCTTTTCTAGAGCTTTTTAGTACTTTGACAAAAGTAGGCAACACAATTTTTCTAGCACGACTTTTGATGAGGAGAATATTCCATGAATGTCTTCTTTATTTCTAATGTCCACTTCTAATTTGTATAGGATGGACCAGGTTGATGCATGTAATAGGCAATCTGCACAAAGTAGAGTACATATGCATGCAACATATATGTCATTTCTCTTATCACTTTTGTTTTTTAAATGTTGAACATTTAATGACATTTAATGCTTGTTCATAATAACAAAGTGCCTTTTATGTTTTTTATGGTAGGATTTGATAGTTTAAGCTTTTCACTAAGATACCCAGCAGTTGATGAACACTTCATTGTTGGATGAAGTAGATTGTTTGACACATGGTATCGTATAACATGTGTAAACACTTCTTTAAGTTTTCTCTGTTTTATTTAAGAATGTGTTTAGCAAGGTATCTTTCAACACAAGTGTTTGGAATATCCTTTGAGACTTTTAGTGTTCTTTCCAAAAACATCGTTTGACGCTTTTATCTATCAAGATATATTGAGAGTTTGTTTGACCATCGTCTAGCGAGGTATAACATTCGTTGCATTCAACAAGACTCTCAGGCGCATTAATTGGGGAAACCATTTAGTGATGCGTATGTTCATACCTAGTGTTTTTACTAAGGCTTTCCTTAAGGTGTTTATATTTTCATAAGCCACTTATATTTTAGTTGTATTGTTATTATAATTATAACATTCTCATATGCTCATTTTGTTTAATGTTGTTTGTTAAACTTTAAAACATATGAGAACATTTAAAAGTTCAGTCTTATAGACGATATTGTCTTAACAATCTTTTCATTTTTGATGTTTAACAAATACACATCTAAACAATATGATTTTTCAGTTTAAGTAGAAGTGCATTTATAAAACTTTAAAGTTTTTAGTCGTTTAAATATTTTGTTAATTCATTTTTATTATTAAGTTGTCTTACATGCATGCGGGTTAGTTTTCATAACAGTTGTAATAACTAATTAGAGCATGATAAATAATCAGAGCATATAATATATGTAAAAGACTCATATTTAAATACATAAACATGGTACATTAACATGAATGTGTATAGTGTTATGCACGAGAGCTTCTAAAAATCTAGAGACTTTGTGTTATCCTATTGTATTCATGTTGGTCTTTTTGGATTATATTATTTATTCTTCCCTCTTATTTGCTAAAGGATAAAAAAGGACGATTCTATTACTCGACTAGGATAAGTCTACATGATGAATCAGATACATAGAACATGAATAGTAACTAAATGTATAGACACTAATTCAAAAAAATAGCTTACTTTTTCTTAATTCCTCTTGAGCTCTCTTGTATTTTATTAAGAATCTTAAGTTTTTCTTCAAATGAACCAAATAGATTTTCCTTTCAACTCTTTCTTTTTCTTTCTTTTCTTACCCATTCCTTTCTCTTATCATTTTCTCTTTAGACTCTTTATTTCTTTCTTCCTTCTCTTTTTTTCTTTTCACTCAAGAGCTTTTTCACTTTTTTTTTTCATATTCATCTTCTCTACTAAAGAATTCATCTTTACTTTTAATGAATGTTTTACCTCTTTTAATGAGTTCTCTCATCTCACACATTAGCTCTTGGTTTCTCTCAAATCATTAGTGGAAAAAAAGATTCTATGATGACTTATTATGAGAATGTGAAATCTGGGTGTCATATAATAAAAATAAGAGTTATTATGATGTACTTTGAAATACCTATCATAATAGTTGGACGCAGAAGCAAAATTGAAATTAAGTTCAAAATATATTTCGAGAAGTCTAAGAAGACTTCTCATAGCAGGCTTTCATAATAGGTTAGAAGTCCTAGCATTTTCATAATAAAGTTCAAAACTTATTATAACAAGTAGTAAACCACATGTCATAGAATATGAATTCCTAATCTTTTTCTCTCTTCAAGTTCTCTTCATTTTCCCAATTTGATTTACACGTCGTCTATTCACGTTCTCTCTTTCTCAGTTCATCTTCTTCGTTCCTCTTGTTAATGTTGTTCTTCTCTTCTCTTTACGTTCTCCCCACATTGCATCAACGCCATATTCTCCCCACATTGTTAGTTCTCCATGCCGTCATCTCTGAGACGTCTTCTCTTACGTACAATCAACTTTTCTCCTTTCCTTCACTTAGGGTCACGAATTTTGTAGTACTTGTTGCCATTCAAGATGACGCTTGTCCTCACAGATTAGCACTCTTGTCTTTCAGAAAGTGATGCGAACTCTGCTCCGAATCCTATCAAAGGCTCCTCTACTCCGTCTCCCACCGTTTGCCTTCTTCTCTCCGCCGCCAACTCTGCTTAAGGTGCTTTTGCTGGCTCCCTTTTCGGCTACGGTTCTCTTAATAATACTTATATTTTAAGATCGGTTTGTTTATTAATATAAAATGTTCATATACTCAAATAGATGAGAAGAGTGTGACCTTGTTTCCAATATCCTTAAAAAATGCAGTGAAAACTGATAAATTAGATAGTTGGAGGAAAAGTGTTTGTTAAAATGACATAAAAGAAGATGATGAAAGGAATTATGATATGATAGTATTCAAATGCTACGTGAAAGAGTATTTCAAAAAATATCAACAGAATACGTGTTCCTTCACCCAAGAGGTCTAATTTGGAAAAACAAACTTTTAATTCTGTCAAATACAGTATAAGCTTACTTCAGAATCCTTCCCAGTACAATGTTCTTCACTCATAATGTGATTTCTTCCCATCTGCAGCCATTAATGCGGGTCTAGCTGATGTTGTGCTGGTCTTGCTACAAGTTTTCCTGGTATCTTTTTTTCTAATAATTGATGAATTGTCAACATTTACTTGAAAATTTTGTTAACTTGATTGGTCCATGCACCAATTGAAATTAAGGATAAAAGCTCAGACTAATCTCTGCCTATTTTGATTGCATATATGTCAATAAAACAAAATATTTGCTTCACTTTTTTTTACATTGAAAAGTATGTTTGTAAACATGATCTTCAAGTCAAACAGTGCGACGACTGTGTCTTCAATTGGTGACTGGGGAATGTTTTAAGGTTTATTAATAGTGTTTAGTTTCTATC